GGATGAGGGGGAATGGCTATAAACTGGAAGAGGGCAGGTTTAGATTAAACATTAGGAAGAAGTTTTTCACTGTGAGGGTGGTGAGGCTCTGGCACAGGTTGCCCAGAGAGGTTGTTGAGGCCCCATCCCTGGAGGTGTTCAATACTTATTTAAAAGTATATCATTTTAAATACTTATTTAAAAGTATATCATTTTAAATACTTATTTAAAAGTATATCATTTTAAATACTTATTTAAAAGTATATCATTTTAAATACTTATTTAAAAGTATATCATTTTAAATACTTATTTAAAAGTATATCATTTTAAATACTTATTTAAAAGTATATCATTTTAAATACTTATTTAAAAGTATATCATTTTAAATACTTATTTAAAAGTATATCATTTTAAATACTTATTTAAAAGTATATCATTTTAAATACTTATTTAAAAGTATATCATTTTAAATACTTATTTAAAAGTATATCATTTTAAATACTTATTTAAAAGTATATCATTTTAAATACTTATTTAAAAGTATATCATTTTAAATACTTATTTAAAAGTATATCATTTTAAATACTTATTTAAAAGTATATCATTTTAAATACTTATTTAAAAGTATATCATTTTAAATACTTATTTAAAAGTATATCATTTTAAATACTTATTTAAAAGTATATCATTTTAAATACTTATTTAAAAGTATATCATTTTAAATACTTATTTAAAAGTATATCATTTTAAATACTTATTTAAAAGTATATCATTTTAAATACTTATTTAAAAGTATATCATTTTAAATACTTATTTAAAAGTATATCATTTTAAATACTTATTTAAAAGTATATCATTTTAAATACTTATTTAAAAGTATATCATTTTAAATACTTATTTAAAAGTATATCATTTTAAATACTTATTTAAAAGTATATCATTTTAAATACTTATTTAAAAGTATATCATTTTAAATACTTATTTAAAAGTATATCATTTTAAATACTTATTTAAAAGTATATCATTTTAAATACTTATTTAAAAGTATATCATTTTAAATACTTATTTAAAAGTATATCATTTTAAATACTTATTTAAAAGTATATCATTTTAAATACTTATTTAAAAGTATATCATTTTAAATACTTATTTAAAAGTATATCATTTTAAATACTTATTTAAAAGTATATCATTTTAAATACTTATTTAAAAGTATATCATTTAAAATACTTAAGATACAGAATTTCAATATTTATTTTAAAACGTAATTTTAATATTTATTAAAAGTATATCATTTTGATATTTAAAATAGAATTTTAATATTTAAAATATAGAATTTTAATATTTACTTTAAAATACAGAATTTTAAGATTTATTTAAAAATATAGACACTTAAGATTTATTTAAAAATATAGACACTTTTTAAAGATTTATTTAAAAAAATATATAAAATTTTCTAAATATATACATTTTCATTAAAAAAAAAACAAAACAAAAAAACCAAAACCCCAAGCAAACAGTCCAACTCTTCTGTCTCGGTGAATCCCACGTGGATTCAGCTCCCGAGACGCCGTCCTCGCTCGCGACCTGAATAAGGATTTCTGTTCCCGGTTGGGACCGGGCTGAAGCAGGCGGCTGTTTCTGTCCCCAGGAGCTGGGAAAATACGGTCTGCTGTATTACAACGCGCTGTTCATGATCCTGCCCACCTTGACCATTGCCTACTTCACCGGCGACGCGCAGAAGGTAGGATTCCTGCCCCAAAAAAGGCAAATCCGTAGGGGCACGATACCCTAAGGGCAAAGTGGGATGCATCAAAGAGCCTTTTACTGGTTGTCATAATGCGCTTTTCTGATGTGAAATGGGTAAACGCTCCAAATGGGAAACTCTAAAAAGCAGTTCGTTATCGCCAGTTTGCAAATGGGAAGGAGGGCGGCGGGTGAGGGAAGAGGCTGGGGCGAAGGACGGGGTTTCGGGGCGGAGAGGGGAAGGCACGGGAGCAGAAAGTAACTGTAAAAGTCGTAACGTTGGGCTTGAAATCCGCAGAGTTGCTCCATTCAAGCATTTATTTTTTTTATTTTTTTTTTTTTTAATGCTTGAGGAATGGGGAAGTGCGAGAGCAATAAGTGAAACCAAACATTAGTTAAAACGAAGAAGTTGAGTATTTTTTTTTTAAATTATTTTTATGAATAAATGGGCTTCTTCAAACTTCTTTCTGTCCTTCTCTCTGGCTGGGGTGGGAGTTATGTTGAATTATTTTTTTATTATTAATTTTTTTTCTTTTCTTTTTTCTTTCTTTCTTTTCTTTTTTCTTTCTTTTCTTTTTTCTTTCTTTTCTTTTTTCTTTCTTTTCTTTTTTCTTTCTTTTCTTTTTTCTTTCTTTTCTTTTTTCTTTCTTTTCTTTTTTCTTTCTTTTCTTTTTTCTTTCTTTTCTTTTTTCTTTCTTTTCTTTTTTCTTTCTTTTCTTTTTTCTTTCTTTTCTTTTTTCTTTCTTTTCTTTTTTCTTTCTTTTCTTTTTTCTTTCTTTTCTTTTTTCTTTCTTTTCTTTTTTCTTTCTTTTCTTTTTTCTTTCTTTTCTTTTTTCTTTCTTTTCTTTTTTCTTTCTTTTCTTTTTTCTTTCTTTTCTTTTTTCTTTCTTTTCTTTTTTCTTTCTTTTCTTTTTTCTTTCTTTTCTTTTTTCTTTCTTTTCTTTTTTCTTTCTTTTCTTTTTTCTTTCTTTTCTTTTCTTTTTTCTTTCTTTTCTTTTCTTTTTTCTTTCTTTTCTTTTCTTTTTTCTTTCTTTTCTTTTCTTTTTTCTTTCTTTTCTTTTCTTTTTTCTTTCTTTTCTTTTTTCTTTCTTTTCTTTTTTCTTTCTTTTCTTTTTTCTTTCTTTTCTTTTCTTTTTTCTTTCTTTTCTTTTCTTTTTTCTTTCTTTTCTTTTCTTTTTTCTTTCTTTTCTTTTCTTTTTTCTTTCTTTTCTTTTCTTTTTTCTTTCTTTTCTTTTTTCTTTCTTTTCTTTTTTCTTTCTTTTCTTTTTTCTTTCTTTTCTTTTCTTTTTTCTTTCTTTTCTTTTCTTTTTTCTTTCTTTTCTTTTCTTTTTTCTTTCTTTTCTTTTCTTTTTTCTTTCTTTTCTTTTCTTTTTTCTTTCTTTTCTTTTTTCTTTCTTTTCTTTTTTCTTTCTTTTCTTTTTTCTTTCTTTTCTTTTCTTTTTTCTTTCTTTTCTTTTCTTTTTTCTTTCTTTTCTTTTCTTTTTTCTTTCTTTTCTTTTCTTTTTTCTTTCTTTTCTTTTCTTTTTTCTTTCTTTTCTTTTTTCTTTCTTTTCTTTTTTCTTTCTTTTCTTTTTTCTTTCTTTTCTTTTCTTTTTTCTTTCTTTTCTTTTCTTTTTTCTTTCTTTTCTTTTCTTTTTTCTTTCTTTTCTTTTCTTTTTTCTTTCTTTTCTTTTCTTTTTTCTTTCTTTTCTTTTTTCTTTCTTTTCTTTTTTCTTTCTTTTCTTTTTTCTTTCTTTTCTTTTCTTTTTTCTTTCTTTTCTTTTCTTTTTTCTTTCTTTTCTTTTCTTTTTTCTTTCTTTTCTTTTCTTTTTTCTTTCTTTTCTTTTCTTTTTTCTTTCTTTTCTTTTTTCTTTCTTTTCTTTTTTCTTTCTTTTCTTTTTTCTTTCTTTTCTTTTCTTTTTTCTTTCTTTTCTTTTCTTTTTTCTTTCTTTTCTTTTCTTTTTTCTTTCTTTTCTTTTCTTTTTTCTTTCTTTTCTTTTCTTTTTTCTTTCTTTTCTTTTTTCTTTCTTTTCTTTTTTCTTTCTTTTCTTTTTTCTTTCGGGGCTGCCGCCAGGAAACTCCACGGTTTGTTTTATTTGGATGAAAAATTGTGAAGGGCGCGCGGCTGAACGTGTCCCGCACGGGGCGGAGGGGGGGACGACACTGCACCTCCCACTGTGCTCCTGCCTGTGTTCAGTCTCGTAGCTCGTTAACGAACATGGAAGGTAACGACGCCTCGTCATGCCGCATGGCACAGGCTGCCCAGAGAGGTGGTGGGGTCTCCATCTCTGGAGCCATTCCAAACCCCCCTGGTCGTGTTCCTGTCCAACCTGCTGGAGGTGCCCCTGCTCTGGCAGGGGATGGACTAGATGCTCTCCAGAGGTCCCTTCTGTCCCCTGCTGTTCTGTGGCCACCTCGGGCTGGCGGTTTGTGTCCCTCTGGGAAAGCCCCATCCCAGCTGCCTGGCAGGATCCCTGTGTGTGTGGTGGCCCTTCTGCCCACTGTACCAGTTCCTGTGGGGTTGGGAGGGGAGGGGACCAGTCATCACCCTCTTGTGCCCTCACCACCTCTTTGAGGTTTGCAGGGACCTCTGGAGCTCATCTGGTCCAGAAGGTGGCCCAGAACCATGTGCAGATGCCACCAACCTCCCTGGGCGACCTGTGCCAGTGCTTGGTCACCCTCACAGTGAATCATGGTATGGTTTGGGTTGGAAGGGACCTTGAACATCATCCAGTTCCAACCCCCCTGCCCTGGGCAGGGCCACCTCCCACCAGCCCAGGTTGCCCAAGGCCACCTCCAGCCTGGCCTTGAACACCTCCAGGGATGGGGCAGCCACAGCTTCTCGGGGCAACCTGCCCCAGGGGCTCACCACCATCACAGCCAACAATTTCTTCCTGATACCTCATCTAAATCTCCACTCTTTCAGTATAAAACTGTTCCCCTTTGTCCTATGGCTCCACCACTGACCCAGAGTCCCTCCCCAGCTCTCCTGGAGCCCCTTTAGGCACTGGAAGGGGCTCTGAGGTCTCCCCTTTTTGGCCTTCTCTTCTCCAGGCTGAACCCCCCCAACTCTCCCAGCAGAGGGGCTCCAGCCCTCCCAGCATCTCCGGGGCCCTCCTGGGGGTCACTTGTAGGGCTGTTACTCCCCACGTTTTCCAGGATTGGTGCTGCGGGCTGGAGGCGATGCTGCCGTGGGTCCATCCGCAGCCCCGGGATGTCACGCTGGGCGGTGTTTTGGTTTGTTTTTTTTTTTTTCCTGCTGTGCCGTGAAAGCCCACGTCAGGGGTTTGTTTCTTGTCTTGCTGTGAATTGTTGTGTTCTTTCCTCCTCCTCTAAGGGTTGGGCCATGTTTCTTGCAGGCCATGGAGTACCAGGGCTGGGCGGACAGGCTTTTCGTCATGCAGTTTACGCTGTCGTGTGTAATGGGGTAAGGACGCGCGCGCTGTCGCGGCGGGTGCTGCCCACCTCCCGGGGTTGGGGAGGAATCCATAAAAAGGGTGGTTGAGTGCGGGGAAGGCATCTCTGTTTCCAGAAGTTTTGCATTTTGGTGGCCTGAGCCATTCTGGCTTTAAAAAAAAAAAAAATAATATATATATATAAATCTTCAGCCCTGATGGGGACATCATTTTGGAGAGCTATGGGGGATGGAAATCATTTCCTATCCCACTTCGGTGCAGGTGTAGCCAAAAAAGTGGTGGTACAAGTACGGCTCTAGGCAAAAGGAGGGGGAAAGATGCTGCGATGAATGGGGGCGCACAAAGCGTGTCCCGGAGCCCCACGTCCCACTCTTCTTCCTGCAGGTTTATTTTGATGTACTCCACGGTTCTTTGCACTCAGTATAACTCTGCTCTTACAACTACAATAGTTGGCTGCATTAAGGTAAGTGGTTCCTCTGCTGCCGGCGCTGCCGTCAGACGAGCGTCGCGGTGAGGGTTGCTCGGGGCACCTATGAAACAGCGGCTTTAGCCATCGGAGTGGGGGCTCTCAGCACTCGGGACGTGCCTGGTGCCGCGGCTCGCTCCAGTTCCCCATGGCCGGAGTCATCCCCTGCTGGCCGTGCGTGCCCGGGACGTGCGGTCGGTGCTGCTGCCTGCGGGAGTTGTTCCAGAAAAAGCCATAAACAGCCTCGTGGCGTCCGCAGCCTCTCTGCATCCCACGTCCTGCTGCCCCGGCACCGTGCATCCCCCCGGCTCTGCCCCCAGCAGCAGCGGTGTTGGCGCGGCAGCAGCACGGGAAGGGCTGCCTGGAGGGGAGTGTGGCTCCAGTGGGATTATTTTTATTTTTTTTTCCCTTTACTATTTTTTTGCTCCTGTCTGGAGTAGAGAGAACCTCATAGAATAGGAGTGGTTTAGGTTGGAAGGGACCTTGACGACCATCCAGTGCCACCCCCTGCCCTGGGCAGGGCCACCTCCCACCAGCCCAGGTTGCTCCAAGCCCCGTCCAACCTG